CCCCAGATGGACGTTGATCCCAATGACACAATTGGAAAATGAGATTATGGAACCACGACTGAAGACATGCGGTTTTACGGAAGAAGGTAGAAAACTAGCAATCAAAGATTAAAATTCCAAATCATAGTCTTTTCCAGGAAATTTCGAATGTGACATGCCACTGGGAGAATTCATCTCATACATTCCAATGTGGATAAAGACTGCCTTGGTGCTGTGTTTTTCAGCGATTGTATTCTGCTTCTGCATAATGCTTGCATGTGGTCTACGACGATTTTGTGGTGAGAAAAGTTTAAAATTATTAAAATTTGAAATTCATTATTGTTGTGAATTCAAGCACCTAAAATGTTGAGTTTAATTTACGACACTTTCCTATGGATAGGAATAGCGCTAAAGATGAGCTACCATTACAATTACTTCCTTAACCAAACTGAAGACAATTAGTTTAGAAAATTTTTTTAAAGATTTAGGCAATTTCCTCCATACGTGCTGAAGTTTAGAAAACAATTCTGTCGTTTAACTCTACCTTTCCTTTTCCTCCATGAGCAAATCGCATCCACGAAAACACGACGTGTTTTAGAAAGCTCATATCGGTAAAGGTAAATATGGAACCTAATAAAATGTATTATTCACATCACAAAATGTTTTCTTCTTCCCAAAAAAGGGGAAGGAAGGTCTATATATGTAGAGATAAAACACGATTCTCTGTATACCTAAAAAACCCAATGCATTTGTGTTATTTAGCGCGTTTTTTAGTCGACACCATAGTTTTTCGAAGAAAAATCAAGTTGGTTTCGATAGAAAAATGCTAGATGAAGTTTGCGAAAACATCGCATCATCGTATGCCCAGGTTAGAAGTTGACTTTTATATTATATGTCAATTTATCTTCACAAAACGATCCCTCTAAGTGTCAAGATGGCTTGTCACGATTGATCAATCAGGCTAAATTCATCATAAGGGTGTAATGTAAAGCACGTGTGGTGTAGTGTAAATTTCAGGGAATAAGATCTCACTCAGGCGACATCACGTGCGTGATTTTGAATGTTTTAAAGCCAATAACACCTACTCTTAACGCAAATGAATGGTTACTGTAGCATTGTAGACTTCAAGCTCGGCCCACAAATACAGAATATGCGAAATTAGCGGAACTACATAACGAGAGTTTAACATTGAATATCTCAATGTCTGAGGAAAAATTCATCAAGGAAATCAATCGATATATTGATCAGTCTCTTTCAATTCAGACAACCCCAATCAAACCAAAGAAGCTTCCATAATGTATTACCATAACGACTCACCAAACACTCT